CTAAGAATTTATATGCATGTGATTTTATGAATTACAGCCATGTGACAGTCCTAATAATGACTTTCACTTCTTTGTCTGACTGTTAAAAAGCATTAGTGAATCCTGGCAAAATGCCTTTTAGGTAAGTATGATAAACTGAGATAGGGAGAGGTTGTGATTTGCCCATGGACAGAAAGTCCATGTCAGAGCTAAAGTTAGGACAGTTATTTATCCACTGTGCTACACATTTTAGACACGCATTTTCAAAGAACTTGTTGACTACTTAGAGCTGGTACAGACTTGCTCCTATTGGCACAGTTGAAACATTTAGCATAAAGAGTTTATAATCTGTTTGAAAAGTCATCACTTGTAGACCACTGGGTTATGCCTCTTTTTCTTATCGCTAATAAGTGCCCTTACTAACTTCAAAGAAAAGCCACTAATTTTTCATTATGCTTTCATGTAAACAAACTTGTTTTCAACAAAGTACATTAAGCTATATTTGAGGCTGTGCATAAGATATTTCTGAAGATATAATGGCACCATTTGTGGTATACACTGTAGTCACTGATTGACAGTGTATGTATCTCAATCACTGTTTTGTAAAGCATTTTGTAAAGGTCAATAATATCTGGGATATGAAAGCAAGCTTTGTTCTATGCTGTACCATGGATTTTCTGTGTATAAATGTTAATGTTGTTTTTCACTTTCCCACTAGTATGCACAACCTACAGCCTGCTGTTGCTCAGGACAAATACAACTCAGTTGATTTAGATTCACAACTGCAGGAACAGGAACGCATCATTACCATATCATATGCTTTGGCTTCTGAAGCTTCTCAGCGGAGCAAGGAGGTAGCAGGTAATGCTCAGTTATTTCCAAAATAATGGCAATTACAAATATATTCTTATTCCTACCTATTTTAAGAACCTGGATGGTTGTCTGCTGAACTGCACTGTACACAGAGAAGTTGCCACTATGATACACTTCTATTGACTGTCTTATTTAAAATTAGGAATCAAACAGCAGATAGCAAAGTCTATAGGTACCAGAGAGGCCTGAGGACTGGCTTTGAAAATTTGATCTGGAGTAAAAAGTGGGGGACATAGGAGTGATTATGAAGCTCAACGCTAAAAGCTGCTGTTATATTTGGCACTGACACATCTAGTCCACTGTATTAGAGATTTTCATCCCATGTCCCTGGAAACTGTGATATTGCCATTACTGAGTGGTCTAAATTACAATACTTTACCTTTAGAAGTGACAGGAATAGTTTTCTTCACTTATCTAATTAAACTGAGCTGAAACTAAACAAGAAAAATGCCAGGCCAGACAAACATCTTTTTTTAAAAATGTAAGAGGTTCAGTGACTAGGATAACAGAAGATCACCTGTAATTTTAACTGTAATCACTACAATGACCTTAGAAGAAGATATTCCAAATTGTCTCACTGTGTGTTCCTGTCACAAGTTTAGTGATCACAGCAGACCAATCAGGCAAGGCTCCTCTTTGACCGGTGATGACAATGGCTCCTTTATGAAAATGAGAACTGCACTCTTGCTTTCATTACATTTGAAATATTATTTGGAAATTGTCAGAAAAGCTGTGTCAAACAGTGAACCTGTTAATAGTTGTTGTTAAAAATATCTGAATATTATTTGTAATGGCACTGTCCACTTTTCCATTGGAGAATTGGAATAATGGAAATTTGGAAATAATAGAAATTTACTGCATTTAAGATAGATGATTTCAATGTTCATCTAAAGAAATACACATGGGTTAAGGCTGTAGGAACCACTACATATTTCCTCACTCTATCTTACCCTCATCTGAGGAGGAGGAGTGCTTATGTGGAAGGACGGAGACGTTGTAAATGCACTAGATCAGTGTTTCTTAAACTGTGTTGTGGAGCAATCGGAGATGTGCCGTGGAGAACAACAGAGTTCAAAATGGCCGCCCTTAAAGCGGCAGGCACACAAACACCTTGTTTTTTCTCAATAACTTCCCCCCCCTCCCCAACCTTTTTTGTTTGTTTGTTTGTTCTTTGCTCAACAAAAAAATCCTTGGTGTTCCTCATAAAAAAAAAATATTGTTTGATATTCCTCGGTCTTAAAAAGTTTAAGAATCACTGCACTAGATCATAAGATCTCTGGAGACAGGATGTCCGACAGGGACAGGGCCTGAGGCAGAAGGAGAGGGGCTGGAGCTGGCCTCCTCTGCCAGCCCTTCAGCACCTCCTAGAGAAGCTCCTAGCACACCACTCTGTACTGTGGCAGCAATTTAAAGTGCCGGGGGCATGGCCTGCCTCTGCTACTGTTGTAGTGGGGCCATAAGCCCCATGCCCTATTGAATCTCCAGATCCCAGGGCAGTTGCCTCCCCTTCTCCCCTCACATCAGCAGGCCTGTCTGGAGATCAAATATCTAGCCCACAAAAATAGTTGTTACATTTTTATTATCGCAGTTTAACTTTTATATCAAACTGTGATCATCTGTATTCTAACATTACCATGAAAAATAAATTCAGGAAAATAAAATTCCCACAAACGTTAATTGTATATATTCCCTAGAATATCCCAATTACTGCCTGAAAAGCTTATTTCCACTATCAGTTCTCTTTCTTTTACTACGTAAGGGCACAATATTGTTAGTATAAGGAGAGCCACACAAGTTGATCTCCTGCATCCACATGATGGAGACCAAAATGTTCCTCTTTGACAACTGAGAATGCTCTGGTTTCACCTTCCAGTAACCATTTATCCTAAACTAATGTTAACGATTTAAAAAAAATAGTAAGAGTTAGTGAAAATAGTGACAACCTATGTTTCAGAATTAAAATAATTAAGGTGTTTGAGCCTTCAGGAATTGATGTCTGATTAGACAAGCTCAGCTAAAAAAAGAACACCATCGGATTTTTATTACTTCTTTGCACAGTTGGGTATCTGTTCATGTTTGTTCATTTTCTAGCTTTGAATTTAAGGCTGGGGTTTTCCAAGACACTCAGAGTATGTCTACACTAAAGAGTCTTTTAGGAAAAACGGCCTTTTTTTTTTTTAAACCCTTGAGTTACGTCAACACTGCAATTGTGCTCTTTTGAAAGAAAATCAAAAGAACAGAGGGATTTTTCTGACATTGGTAATCCTTATTCTACAAGAAAGAAGCCTTTTTCTGAAAGAGCTCTTTTGCAAAAAGGCGTGTGTGAACAGGAAAGAGGAAAAAGCACAGGTGCCCTGGTGGCCACTCCGTCCATAGTAATCACAGTTTAAATGCAAGAGAGCATCCATTCAGTGTAGCTGCTATCTTTTGAAAAAGCAGATGGCTTTTTCGATGTGCTTTGGCAGTGTAGACGCTCTCTTTCGGAAGTTTTTCCAGAAGATCTCTTCCAGAAAAGCTTCTTCCAAAAGAAGCCTGTAGTCTAGACATAGCCTCAGTGCTGGCTTAATCCTGCTTCATTTTGAGCACTTTTGAAAATCTACCCAGAACGGCTAGATCCGGATTGGCAACGTTCGGCAGGTGGGGTAATCTCCTGGCAGGACACGACATTTTGTTTACATTGAAGGTCCGAAGGCACAGCCCCCCCCATAGCTCCCAGTGGCCGCAGTTCACCATTTCCAGCCAATGGTAGCTGCAAGAAGCAGCGTGGGCCACAGGGACATGTTGGTTGCCACTTTCTGCAGCTCCAATTGGCCAGAAACATGGGAGCTGCGGGGGGGGCAATTGCCACCAGCAAATTACCCTGATGGCCTGTGTGCTGAAGGCTGAGAATCCTGGCCTCTATTTAGTATAAATACTGCCCAAGGATGTTAAAATGAGATTATCTGGCTAATCGTATAGTCAATACAACTTGTATCGACTATACAGTTAGTCAATAAGCACTGCTGGGCAGAGTCGCAGCAGAGGTAGCTCAAGGAACTGGCTCCAGAGCCACTCGCACTGCTGCTCTGCATTTTAAATGTAGCAAAAGCCCAGTGACTCTTACTACATTTAAAATGCAAAGGTGCAGGAATCAGCACAAGCGGGATTACTCGGTCCCAGCTCGCACTGAATCCAGCAGCTCCTGTCCATGGAGGACAGTCCTCTCCACCGCGAACAGGGGCTGCTCAGGCAGCAAGCAGCAAGGGGGGGGATTTTGTAGAGAGCACAGGCGAGCGGAGACTGCTTGAGTCCCTGCACACCCCATGCTCCCTGTGGCCCTTCTGCTTTTGAAATGTACAAGAGCCCCAGATTCCCTGCTGTGCCTCTGCTTCTCCTGCCCCTGCAGAGACGGTGCTGGGGGGAACCACTGAAAGATTTTTTCCCCCTCCACCAGCTCCTGCTCCTTTCCCCCTTGCTGCCTCTCTCGGATAGAGGCAACAAGAGAGGGGAAGCGACTAGTCGAGTGGCTGTTCGACTATCGGATAAACATTTGCTTATTGGCTAGTCAACTAGTTGCTAGCATCCCTAATACTGCCTTTTATAATTTTACTGTAAAGTTTGTTTCTGAATTTTTTCCAAATTATCCTTTTTTTGATGGACCAAACATAATCTAGGATGCCATAAAATAATACAGTAATATAAAATATGAGGTGATGTTACCCAAACTAGCCGCAAGCTTCAGCTACAAGGTTTCTCCACTCCTGAAATTGAATCTCTTTCCTACAGATAAATGATGGCATGAAATCTCTGAGTTCAAGTATCATCAGAAAGCCACTTCTCAAATAGCTGCTTGAACTGACTGCACCTTTTCCCTCCAAAATTGTAAAAGCGGAGATACAGCATAGAAACCAGCCAAGTCTTTAATATTATGCCAAGAAATTGGGATTTCTTTTTCTCCAGAGTAACTTTTTCTTT